AACGATGGAAGCTTATTCTACTCGCATGCTTCACACTGACTACGCAGGGCCGCTGAATGGTAAGATGTATCTCATTGTAGCTACGCTTACTCGAAATGGCCAGAAGAGATGCCTTCATCGTCAACTACAGCTACCCTGAAAGAACTCGGATCGTTATTTGCTCGATTTGGAGATCCACGTGTGATCGTGTCGGATAAAGGGGCGCAGCTCACAGCAAGGAAGTATCAAGACTTCTGCGGAGAGCGAGGAATCAAGCATGTGCGTTCACCACCATTCCATCCGCAATCAAATGGACAAGCGGAGAGGTTTGTGGATATCCTCAAAAGGACCTTTCAGAAAATTGAGGAGGGAGGAAGAAGAAGAGCAGAGAAGCTTAAGAAGTATCTGCAGTCATATAGACGAACGCCGTGTACAACTGCTATAGAACAATATTCGCGTGCCGTGCTGCTCTTGGGACGTCAGAGAAGGACATTGTCGCTGCTGAATGAAGACTTCAAAAAGAAGGAATGGGCAGTGACATTATGGAGAAGCAGTTCAACCGCCTTCACGGAGCTCGAGAGATAGCGTACCAACCACAAGATGCCGCGTGGGTACGTGATTTTCGCTCTGGATGTGAACAGTGGATTCCAGCTTGAGTGAAGACACGCTACGGAGAAGCCGTTTACGATGTGCTTACGGAAGACGGCCAGCTGTGGAGACGACATGCGAACCAGATGCGCATGGATCAAGTATGGAGCGCCATCGTGACTCGTCACGCACCAAGTGTCTCGAAGAAGGCCGACTGGACAATGGCATGGATGCCACCAGCCACCAAGCCACTTCAGCCACTTCACTGACCCAACCAGACCTAGTCGCCATCGCCGACCACCAAAATGTCTTCAAGTAGATCCTCATTTCAAGATGTACCATTGTTCATCTTAGGAAGAAGGTGTTGTAGAGCTGTTTCACGTATATTGGATCTCGCTCATTATTGATAGGTAAGGCTAAGGCGACCTATGTGGTTGCGACGTACCCGCCCACATTGATATATTTACCTGTTGCTGTCTGTTATCGAATTGATCCTAGTGAACCCGCAGCATATACGACGATGTGTAAGGGGAAACTTTGTGTTTTTTAATGAACTTTCAACGGCTCAACGTGTTCTACTATACAGAAGTAGTATTTTGTAGTATTAAGTTGTCCCATAATAGATGAATGATAACATGGATATTTGCAGTATGGCCTGCTTCGCCTCTACCCCCATGCAGGTCTCGAGATGACTAGACCACTCCCGAGGCTCATCAGTAGGGAGGAGTAGCTTGGATGGAAAACCAATGGTTTAGCCTTTAGCGCTGCTTTTTTTATACCGCAAGGTCTATATACCATTAGGGTGGAGCAAAAATTATGATAAGTCTTTTCATTTTTGAGTTTTCGCTATAATAAATTACACACTTCTCATTTCAAATAGGCATCAGGATATCATTAATGCGTTTACACCAGCCTCGATCCATTTCATTTCGAACCAAAATCTAAAGAGTTTCGTGTGTCCAGAAAATCGAAATTTTTTTAACTTCGTTCAAAAAAGCCCTGCAGATCTCTCAGTTGCTTACGCATATACATTCCACATCTGCTGTTGCTGTATTTTTTTATTAGCTAACAAGGGAAGGATACTCGGTCGAAGTGGCCATATGGAATGAGCTGTATATTAGGAAACCGTCCTCCGTAAGGCAAACTCAAAACTACTTTCGCTAGGTGCCGAGCGGTTTTGTGGGGAAAGTTACAAAGCCATTTTCCTCCGGCGCAGCCAGCGCACTCAGTGATGAGCGAGGCGCTAGAATTACGCAGCAGTGTGGCAGTGGCGCAGTGGCAACGCAGCGGACTACGAAGCAGATGGTCGAGGGTTCGAGTCCTGTTGCTGCTACTTTGTTTTGCAGTTCTGTAAAAAGTCTATTGGGTGACAGCAAACGAGAAATACTATTTCTAGGCAGTTGAAACAAGCTATTTACTGCAAAAAAGTCACTATTTCTACAATAAGCTATAATCTTCTACAATATGTCAATCTGTGGAGGCTAAGATGTTACAAAAATGGATTCAAATGATATATTAACATTTATGGAATACAACCACAAAATGCTCAAAGCAGAAGAGCTTCTCGCAGGCGCGCACATCGGATAAAATATAAAAGATGACAATCAGCAGCTTCACAATTGCCTATCAAAGTCGGTGAAAAACAGTAATGAATAGGAGACTCGAATTCGCCGGGGTGATTATCAATGTATCCGGCTGACGAGAACATCGTAATGTTTGGCAGCGGAGCTTTTTGCTATATGCGCATACTTGGCACTTGCCTTTACCTGCGTGGTCCTCCTTGATAGGTAATGAAGCGCTGATTGCAATCGATTGCAAATTTGCAAGTGCGCGCGCTGCGAGAAGCTCTTCTGCTTTGAGCATTTTGTGGTTGTATTCCATACATGTTAGTATATCATTTGAATCCATTTTTGTAACATCTTAACCTCCACAGATTGACATATTGTAGAAGATTATAGCTTATTGTAGAAATAGTGACTTTTTTGCAGTAAATAGCTTGTTTCGACTGCCTAGAAATAGTATTTCTCGTTTGCTGTCACCCAATAGACTTTTTACAGAACTGCAAAACAAAGTAGCAGCAACAGGACTCGAACCCTCGAGCATCGGCTTCGTAGTCCGCTGCGTTGCCACTGCGCCACTGCCACACCGCTGCGTCATTCTAGCGCCTCGCTCATCACTGGGTGCGCTGGCTGCGCCGGAGGAAAATGACCTTGTAACTCCCCCCACAAAACCGCTCGGCACCTAGCGAAAGTAGTTTTGAGATCGCCTTACGGAGGACGATTTCCTAATATACAGCTCATTCCAAATGGCCACTTCGACCGATTATCCTTCCCTTGTAAGAATCAAAAAAAAAACGGAATCCATGTTTCACCAAAGTGATGTTTTCTGTTCTTACACTAACAATTGTATACTATAAGCCTTTAGAAGTACAATCGTGAACTTTTAACTCTCTATTAGCTCTGTCGGGTAAAGTTGAGTTTAGCGCGAAAAACCCGAGTGGGAAAAGCTAAATTCGATATTTCTTGTGAACCAGAGCTTATAGAAAGCCAAAAATATACGGTAATACTTCTAACAAGGGAAGGATGGTCAGTCGAAGTGGCCTTTTGCGATAACTTGTATACCTTATTGGAGGGCATAAAACGCTGATTTCAAATCTGTCTTCCTTATCTGCTGCGCGTTCCTGCACGAGAAGTTATGAGCGTTTATTGGAGAAAAAAATTGAATGTGTAAATATTATAAAAATATAATTATATGTGCAAATAATATAAAAACAGTAGTAACATTATTCCTAGCGCTCAAATGGACCAGTGGTAATCAGCACTTTATAAAATAAATACTTTTAGGTGAGATAATCCGCACTCCGACTGTCTCATTCAATCGCTGGAAATGTTTAGCGACTGTATTTATCCCAGAAAAACACTCATTTTTTGCTCCTTCAAACGCTCATAACTCCTCGTCCAGAAACGCGCCGCAGATAAGGGAGACAGATTTGGAATCAGCGTTTTATGCCCTCCACCAGGGTATATAACCCATCTCAAAAGGCCACTTCGACCAACCATCCTTCCCTTGTAAGGGTTGTACTCTACAGCTGTTAGTGTAAGAACAGCACAGCATCACTTTGGTAAAAACATAAATTTTCGATTTCTTGATTTTTAGCTGATGAAAAAAATACAGCAAGAGCACATATGGATGTCGATGTGGAATGTATATGCGTAAGCGAGTTAGAGACCTATGGGACTTTTTTGAACGAAGATATAAAAAATTTTCAATTTTCTGGGCATCCGAAACTTTTTAGATTTTGGTCTAAAACTTGAGATGGACCGAAGCTTGTCAAAAGCATACACACTCTATCGGATGGTGTCCTTATCTTATATATAAAGCTGAATGTCTGTCTGTCTGTCTGTCTGTATGTCTGTACGTATGTGCGGAATAGAAATTTTTACTTCTGAACCGATCGGGACCAAACTTTGCACACATACACTTCGGGGCAGGGAGCGTGTCATAGGCTACTTTTCGTTATCGATCGATGTCGATTTTACCGATTTTTTGCAAATTTTGAGCTAGGGGGCTGGGATTTCACCCCTTCGGGGTGATCAGCATGCTCGATTACCCCCCTGTGCAAAATCCCAGCCCCCTAGCTCAAAATTTGCAAAAAATCGGTAAAATCGACATCGATCACGAATAGTGGACTATGACACGCTCCCTGCCCCGAAGTGTATGTGTGCAAAGTTTGGTCCCGGGCGGAGCCGGGTAAGCCATCTAGTGTCTATATAAAATAAGAAGTGTCTGACTTATTACGGCGAAAACTCAAAAATGAAAAGACTTATGGGACAATCTAATACATTTTAGAAAACCGATATGGAACAAAACCAATAGGTGGACTTGAAAAAAAACATAACTATTTCCAATCACTATCAAATTCCTCTAGTTAAAAGAGTAGGTCATAAAACCAAGAAAAAAATGAATTTGAATTTCAGTAGACGTTTTAGCAATTTTAGCAACCAGAAATCGAAAAATCACTTTTTGGGTATTTTAATGAACTCATATCGTTGCCATATGCCCTCAGGGAATTTCTATCCATGTTTTAAAAGTGCAAGCTCTTTTGTAATTGTCTATCAAATCAGAAGATCTCAAGCTGGAGAAAGTGACAGAGTTTCGAAAATTTTGGTGCAAAAATTAATCATCCTGATAGTACCTCACTTTCTAGCATCCTGTGGTGATTACGATCACTATGGCGATTATTGCTACAAAGGTTACAACCAAACTCTGTCGCAGGACGATGCAGAATCCCAGTGTCAAAACGAATGCGGACACCTCGTGTCTATTCATAGTGCAGATGTGAGTGCCTTCTATATCTTGTGGATGTTGAGGAGAAAGAGAAGTATTTGCAGAAAATCAAATGATTTTGGACACATACACTGGCAACGTGAATTATGTTCGAGTTGGATTGCAGGCAAACGGCGAAGCCAGATAATACCAGTTTCGACTACAATAACATAGGTGAGTTTGTTCTTTAATTCTATCTACATCGCTCCCACTTGTACAGGACATAAGGTCGCCAATAGGCTCCACCCACGCGGACGGCTATCACTGACTGTGACAGAGAGAAGTGTGCGTTTGTTGCAGATGTACGCGTGGGACCTCCCTTTTCGGCGACCTAATGTCCTCTACCCTTCCCATTTCTTTTCCCAAAACTCTACATAATTGCGAAAGAAGAGAAAAAAACAAGACACCCTCAAAATTTCAAAGACTTTCATTAGCTTCTCAAGTTTTTTGCAAGCTTGCAATTACTGAATATTCAAAAAAAGAAGATTCCACTACACCAAATAACTTGAACCTTTGTGTTTTATAAAATTTGTTTGATTTACATAAACAAATTGCTTGCATCATTTATATCTCTGTACGCAACTTAAATTTCGCCATCCAGAATGGGAGAGGGGGAGTCATGTAGTATACAACGTCAATGCTAGAACATCCCAGCAATGATCTGGCAAAAAGAGAAAAACTTCGTTTTCTCATTTTCTAGCTGAGAGGAAAATACAGCACTGCTAAGGAAATGTTTTATCCAAAATGTCAATGCATGAGCAAATTAGAACTTTTGAAGGATTTTTCAAACGGACTTCCAATTTTCTTCTTGGTTTCGGGGCGCTAGGATCTTTTGCATTTTGAGCTTCTTCGCTTGGATGAAATGCTGCGAATTTTTGAGCACCATCTTGTAAAGCTAGCTTTGTTGGGACGAGCTGGCTTCCAGGGGTTCCACCCGTTTTGAAGCCAGTCCATCGTGCTTGATCACTCATGTAGCGGAATTTTTTTTATTCTGACTCGTCTTAGGCTTGCTTCTCACTGTCCTCACCATATCTTGATGGCCAGCAGATCACAATGAGCTTCATCGCTCCTCCTTCCTGACTATGGGAAATGCGCACAGACACACAAACACACAGTTTTCTGATTTTATATAGAAAGATATGGAAGAAATATGTATTATTGCTGTCTGTACCTATTAGGTTGTCCCAAAAGTAAATTCCATTTGCAATTAAATTGAGCTGTTTTTGTTTTCCTGCTAGATTTAGGGTACCATTAGAGCGGAGAGTATAGAGCGGAGCAAGCTCTACAAAAAGACCATCGACGATCCACCTAACTCGTAATCCAGGTAGAAATTGGGGCCAAAAATCAAAATTTTTAGTTACCCTAAAAATCGGATCTCTTTTCAGAGATTTCCCACGGATTTCCAACTTGGTCTTTATATAGTAGACACATAGTAGTACTCAAAAATATATTCCGCGGATTTTTTTCGGGGTTTAAAATTAGAAAAAAAAAGTGGTCCAAAAATGCTAAAATGTTACTTTTTTCGGGTTTTTTGTATTAATGGTATTTCTCGATTATGAGAACACATACATGGGTAATGAAATTATACTTAGTAAGGCTTGCAGTATACAATGACATATGTGGGAGGGGCTGAGGGCGGAGTTTGCCATTTGACATTTTTTATTTCTCAATTTCTATGCTCGGAAAGAATTCGGTAAATGCGTATTTGAGTACTACTATGTGCCTACTTATAATGACCAAGTTGGAGATCCGTAGGATTTTTTGTCGCAGAAATCCAATTTTTTTGTGACAAAATTTTTTTCGATTTTGGCTTTAAACTTTCCATGGAATGCAACTTAGGCGGATTCTTGGTGAGAGTTTTGTAGAGCTTGATCTGCTCTATCGAATGATATTCTAAGCTCACTGGGAAAACAAAAACAGCATGAATCATTTAAAAAAGGAGTTTACTTTTGGGACAACTAATATTTTGGTGCAGGAATTATGCAACTTATACATCGCCCTTCCCACATGGGCAGGACTAGGGCGCCAATAGGCTCCACCCACCCGGACCGCTACCACTAGCTGTGATGGAGAGAAGTACGTGTTTGTTGCGGTCCGCGTGGGACCTCCGCTTTCGGCGACCTGATGTCCTCCCTTCCCATCTCCTTTCGCAAATTCACTCTCCATTTATCTAACGGAGCCAAAAATAATTTTGCGAGAAAACAAGGACCAAGGAGAAGGAGAACAAGGAGAAAACAAGGACCCACGGAACTTAAAAGACTTTCAATAGCTTTTCATATTGTTTGCAAGCTAGCAATTACTGAAGCTTCAAAAAATAGTCCAGCGCCTCATACCAAGTAACTTGAACCTCTATGGAGGTTATGCAATGTTATTGTTAATAAATTGCTCGCATCATTGATATCTCATGCAGGCGACTCTTCGCCGAAATTCGCTAAGAAATTATGTATGGGGGAGGGGAGGGGGGGGGCTCTCGCTCAGCTATTTATTTACCAGTTTTTGTGCAATTATCCTCTCTTACTCTTCTTATAAATCATTCTCAAAAATATTCTGTGTTTCCCCTCAATGCACTATGAATGACTTCAGGATACAGTAGCTACTGGTAACTGCATAGCACTGTCACCTGTAAGTGAATTGGTCCCTCGTGGAAAATGGATATCCGTTTCCTGTACATCGCCATTGCCGTTTATCTGCAAAAGAGGTATGTGAACTAATATTATGGCAGGGAATCGCCTGCGCGGGGAAGTGCTACAACGTGATATGTGTTACGTGGCTTGTTTTTTGAAAGTGTCAGCGAATACTGCACTTTCTTACGGTACATCTCCGAGTTTTTCAGAAGCTGACTGCTCCAAGCCTACAACTCCAACACCTGTGACCCTAGCTCCCTCAACATGCGACGCTCCTTATTATTTTACGGAGCAGAACAGAACCGTAAATTACATATTTTTGAAACTCTTATGATAATTTATCAAATTCCAGTTTTACTCGCCTGGTTTTCCGAACTCCTATCGTAGCTGCAAAGCATGTTACTATATTCTCACAGTCGAACAAAAAATAGTAGGGAAGTTCCAAAAAGTAGTACAGATCCACTTTGATTATCTCCAACTCAGCCAAGGCAGCAGCATCAAACTATTTTACTCGATCAGTGATTCTACACCATTCATGAAGTAAGCAAGAAAAATTGAAAATATTTTTCGAGAATTTTACCAAATTCATTTTACAGTATAACAACAAATGTCTCATCTTCTCTATACTTCAACTCAGCGTCAAATGTGATGAAGGTGATCTTTGTAACTGGAAGTGATGGTGATGGTATTAACAAATGGAAAGCGAGTTTTTCTCCATACGACAAGGGTTAGTCACAAAAAGCAGAATTAATTAAGAGGTGACATTGATGACAAGAACATACCCAATAATATTGATAATTAAAAGTTAAAGGAGAATGGTGGTCAAGTGCAGTTAATACCACCATGTTTTCTCAGGCTGTGTTCAAAGTGTCCGTACCAGTGCCGTTACAGCGCCGTGAGAAGAATCGATCAATATGAGGCACGCGCAGGAGCTGGAGCGGGGTTGACCCTCGGCACACGAACAGCTGCTGGTGCTGCCTTAAAGCCTTTTGATCGTTATTCTAGAAAGAATAGAAGAATACTCTTCATATTTTTCATAAAACTTGCTATTATTTGTATCATTTTGAAAAAAAAATTGGAGCGATATATTGTCATGCTGCATTTCTTGTAATGCTCCACGGAAGACATTGTCGCGCTGCTCTTGAATTGGCTGCTGTAACTCTAAGATCCATTAGCAGACAAGTTTCGACTATAGTGTGAATTCTTTTGTGTAAGAACGTCGAAGTGGTAGATATCGACTGACAGAAGTTGTGCCAATAGCCTCAACAAACTCATCAAAAACTGAGATAGAATGATTTCAGTGATAACAACTTCGCCCATGGTCACCATCATGCAGTCACCAACCAACCCTAGTGGTTGCAACCAAAATTCTGTTGTAGCTATCAATGTAAGTGTTTCCTGTATAAATGATGAAGAATTCACATCTGATTGTTTAGATCACAAGCCCGAATTATCCAAGAAATTACCCAGCTCTAACGCAATGTTGTTATCAACTGACAACCGATAGTAAGCACAGGCAAGTTAAAATTAGGGTTACCTTGGGTGACTTGAAAAAGTTTTATTCAGAATACGTTTGACTTTTGGAGCGATAGAGACTGAGCAATGTTGTGATATCATTGACGTTTACGACTACGATGGCACACCATACTATGTTTTATTAGGCAGGTAAGATGTTGCATCCTTAAAATGAGCGTTAAGACAGGAACTACCCGTACTTCTTATGTAAAGTATAGTGCCTTATGTGGATAGTACTTAAGGGCTGCGTCCCGGCGAAAAGATGGGTGGTTTCTGTGGCATGTTAAAGTAGACCCGCTACCTAAGCGATGACTGAAGTTCGGAACGAAAAAGGGGGTCTATCAAATGTGAATCTGCTCCGAAAGTGGCACGGATCTTACGGTAGGCCCTAATGCCGCCCGCACAGCGATTTCGATTTGCAAGGCCATAGCACGCATAGTGCACACAATCATGAGCGCAGGGTTCCGCAACGAATCTGCGTCTCTACCTTGCATGCATCTCGTACTCGCCTGAGCCTACGCAAGATCCGGGTCACTCGGGGAGCGATTTGTAGACTTCGTGACCACCTTTCGCGCTACAAACTTCTGTCGTTGCCTAGTTACGGGGTCCAGTCTGGTGGACGCTGCCTTTGAAGGCAGAAACTTGATTTCTAGAAAATCCACTTGCCGGGAGTTATCCGCAACGCTGAATCCGAAAATCCACATTAGAAGACGCGAAAATGGCGAAAACATGCATTTTCTAAGCCCTTACATTTTGAAATTCGACGGTCTCCGCCAAGGCTAAGACGCGGAGTCGCTGCGGGACCCTGATTTTAACCGTTGCGGCATGCGTACTTTGCCGCACAGCAGGTAATCAAACAGGTCGGAGGACCCTGTTCCAAAGCGTAAGTTTCCCCAATTTCTTATCGTTCTTGCTTCAGGTCGGGCTTTATAACCTCGCACTTGCGCAATGTTGTGTCTGAGAGGGGGCCGCTTTCGCATGACATTGAAATTCCAAAACCCTCACTCTGCCCGGACACTGCCTTTAAGGGGTCTCAACCAAGCCTTTGACTTATGCGATTCATTTGTTACCAAAAAAATCCATGGCTAAATTTACGTTTACTGCTACAAATGATTACTGGACCGCATGGAGGGGTACGGTACTAGGCGAAGAAATAGATTTCTCGGTTGTGGTGTGATCCGCTTGGGCAGATATCTCATTCCCCCAATCATTATCCGCTTAAAAGCACCTAGAATTTGTTCAGATACTGACTCTACTCACTCCAACAATGACCACTTTAATTTCTGTTTTCAGATTTAGCGGACAGATAGCAGCTGGCAACAAGACATTCACTTCAACTTTCAATGAGATGATTGTGGACTTTAACTCCGATTCAATTGGAGAAAAGGGTGGATTTTCAGCTGTGGCTATAGCTGTCGTGTAGTAATAAGTTTCACGTGAATTAATAAAAGAATTGCCATCTTCAATCGTGCATCATCGAGGACATAAATAAGTTTTCGCGTATGACAGGAAGAAATAAACGCTTCAGCAAGTAGCGTCAATAAGAACACTCGGGTGGAGGACATTAGGTCGCCGAAAAAGGGCGGTCCCCGCGGTCATTTGCGACAAATGCGCACCCCTCTCAGACATTCGCCGTTGTCACCCGCAGGTGGACCGCCCACAAAATGGCTGATCGCACCAAAACCCGGTGCACCGGCGGGAGACACGAATTTAGTTTTGACCCGATTTTACTGCGATTTTGCCCCGATGCACGCCGCATGCGTGTATGATAGTGATGTTGCGAAATAGTCGTCTTCTCTTGGTGTTTGCTTTTTGTTGATTGGTGCCTTTTTCTTCGATGTTTTTGCTTTCACTCTTTCTTATACATCGCTCATAATCACTCTCTGGGATCATTTGTGACCTTTTATAGCATAAACTTGTCATTATACCAGACCCACTCTATCTTAACCATACTTAATGATGCCTTTTGATTCAATTTCGCTTACTATTTTTCCTCAATTTTACCAGCACATATTACAATAAAAGTGAGGTCGCCATTTCCGTAGGACATTTTGACGGTTTGTCAGTTCAGATGAGATCGCGCGTCCAAAATGGCAACTTCACTTACAATCTCTGCGCTCGCGTTGTAGATCGAAGGTAAGCATGTTATTCTCAATTCATTAGGTTACTTCAGGACTCCTTCCAACTCAGCAAATTTGCGGAGTGCAATTTTTTGACCTTAGACTCAAATTGTTAGCCACAAGCCTGATAGTCTAAGTTTCAAGCCAACTACAAGCTTTAAACAAACTTGAAATTTCGTAATCTTGTGTCGGGTCCAAGAAACCATTGAGGCGTCGCTAGCTAGCTAAAAGCTGTCAAAACATGTAACTTATACTATCCATTACTTATTGTGGGTAGCTTCAAGCTTACACGTACAGAACAAATATTTGCGAAAACGCCATTTTACGAGAAAATCCTTATGACACAATACTTTTCCAGCAAAAAAAAACAGTTTAGCGCCCGAAGTATTGTCATAGTTCGAAAAATGTGTTTTTGTAAGAAAATTTTTCCTGCAGAATGGGCTTTTCCATAACTTGTTTTCGCAGTTTCACAGAAATAAAACCGGCTGCAGCCGTATATGGACTGCTGCTGTGTAAAAAAATTTTACTTAAATTTATTTTCACGCAGGAAACAAAGAACTAAATTTAGGTGTAAAATGCACGTTTGGTACCCCATCAGATCTTTGAATTCCCGATTGCAAAGCCATAGCTGGTCAAATGACCAGCTATGGCTCTGGCTTCCGGCCTTGATAAAAGAATTTATTCTCTTCAGAGAAATTTCCACAACGCATGCAATGTTTTTTGCGGAGTTTCGTCCGTCTTTCTCTCGCTCTTAGGTCACTTTTTGGCAAGTCTAGTGGTCCGTACTTGGAAGAGGGGCCTTTTTTCTCGCAGATAGACCAGAAAGAGAATTCATGGGGTCAAGAATGGGCGAGTTAGAAGGCGAAATTTTGCTTGTTCAAATATGGCTCACATGAAGTTTGATGGGCTGCCAAAAATCCATTCTTTGCTCTATTTTATACATGTTTCGATGACAGTCGTCTTCTCCATATTCTTTTGTTCCATTGTGGTCCTTTCTGACTTCGTTCCTTATGTAAAAGTGATCTAGCTCAAATTTTTATTAACCAGTCGCTGTAGCCCGAAAATCGCAATTTCTCGAAATTAACGAGTATCAGAAGCTGTTTGAATTTTGGCATGATGAGGCAGCAATCCACGCCGAAAAGAAGAAATCGCAATCGTCAAAATCCATTTTTCAAACACGGAAAAAATGATATTCGGCCTTCTAACTCGCTCAATCATAGTCCCACAATTGCTCTTGTCTACCTAACCGAAAAAAGAAAGTCTGCTCTCTAAAACTCAGCCCGATTGAGGTTTTTGAATATGAAATGAATGAACGAAAGGCATCGTATTTTTGGGAGCTGAATTTGACTGAAGTCTTAGAAAAATGGAAGAAATCGGCTTGCGCCCATAAACATGATCATTTTCTGCATTTTCATCATGTTTCTGATTTTCTTAGGCACTATGTCGTCAATGCAAGCAATCACTGCTGAAGGAAATCTTGCCTTACACATAATTATTTGGGCTTGTGAACCGGCAGAGGAATTCAAAAGTATGCATGTAGGCAAACTGGCAAAAAGGAAAAGATGACAACCTTAAGCATCTCCCGGAATGCACTGTGAATTTACTAATGAGTAGGTTGCTTCCGTCATTTTGTACATCAATTCGAATAATTTATTCAGGGTTTGTATTGGACGCTTTTGGCCTACCGGACAAAGAACTTCTACAGTCTGCATAAAAATACGACAAAGGCGTCAAAGGTAAAACTTTCGTCCCAAAAAGTTTACGCATTTGATGCTGATGTTTTTCAGAAGAACCGCCCCAGGACATCTAACGTGAGCACTGACTTGAACATCATCAAAAAAACGGACGCCGATATTGCAGTAACGGATGCGAACGACACACATTAGTCCAATTCCAGTTGTTTTTTGTCAAGTGTTCTCTCGATGTAGTTTATTTAATTTTGCGCTGATGTAGATTTTTCTGTACCATGAAGTGGTTAATAAATACTATAGCTTGATTTGTTAGTGACAGTGAAAGAAGACAGCACGGTAGAAGTAAAACACACAAGTATAGAGTATATACTCTATACTTGTGTGTTCCAATATACGTACCTACGAGGGTGAACTACTGCTTCAAGGATCGGGGCATTATGGTGTCTCCCGCAGGTCACTCCGATAATGACCGGAGAATGCCCTGTCGGGGCATTATGGTGTCTCCCGCAGGTCACCCCGCTGCAAACACAGGTGACCTGATTTTGCCCCGACACCGATTTCGTGTGACGCGCCGTTGGTCAATGAGATCACATCATTTTAACCTGCGGGTGACAACCGCGAATGTCTGAGCTGTACATGCGCGGACATGCGTTCCTGCAGGGAATCCGCGCGGGACTCTTCCAAATTCCGCGACCTAATGTCCTCCACCCAGAACACTCAAATGTCACGGTCGGTAGTGACCTCGCAAATGCATCATATCCGGAATCACCATGAAATGTAATCCCAGGTACATGAGATACTACAACGAAAAGCGATTCTCTGACTTTTAAAAACATTGTTTTTTTAATATAAATTAGTTATGAAAATAGTGAAAACAAAAAAAGTTGTTGATTTCACTTAACAGTATAGCTGGCGGAAAATAAGCCGGAAATAAAATGCTACGAATAAGATGGGCACTCTAGTGCGAATCTGGTTTGAAGCACATTATTTTTCGGCCTTTGTATTAGGTTGTTGCAAAAATAATGTCCGTTTTTCTAGGCGTATAATCCAAACGACTTTTCTCCTTAAGGCTTTCTTTTTCGATAAAGATTCTGCACATCTTTGGAAAGCTTTCTTCATGTACTTTCTAACGGTTGTGAAATTAATCTTTTATCTCATCTGTAAGATTTTCACCAGCATTTTGCACAGCCGCACTCAAAAGAAAAATTTCATTGTTCCAACTTTTTTGGCCACAATTCAGGCGCAAATAAACGAATTGTTCTGAAAACATAACTACTATATAGGATAAATATTGTTTACTTTTTGCACGTTTAAATAAGTTTTTCGAATACACCTGAACTGACAAATCGAGCTTCAAGAAAGATAATCGCTGCCTGGAACTCTATGGGTTCGAAATTTTTCCTGATTAGGGCAATCGCTAAAACTTCGCTCATTTCTGTAGGCTTAAGGTCAGGACATCTTATCTACAATTCATGCAGAAAAACTTAGCTATTTAGTGCATGAACAATTCCAAGTTCTCTTAGTTTGGGACTTCCAAGCCTATCACAAATAGGCTTAAAAAAGTGAACAATTTTTTCTATCTTTTTTATCTCGCAGAACTTCTTCGCTAAAGTTCTTTTTATACAGACGTATACTACTGGGTTGCGTCTACAAAATAAGCTGATTAGCAGCCATAACAACAAAACTTGAAGGGATTTGTAATCTTTCAAAAACGAAGTTTTCGAAAGCAAAACTTTCGGTTTTCTGACGCATGATTTTCTTCCCGTTTGCGATATCAGTATATGCAGGTGCGCCTTAGATTACGAAAGGTTTACTGCATGTGAGGATCTTGACTGCATTCAAAAATATGAAGACTGAACAAAGTTATAGCTTTTCAAAGTGAAATTTTGCAAAACGGACATTATTTTTGCAACAACCTAATATTTTGGTCAAATAATGTACGTCGCCAACCCATTTTTCTCCTCATCTCCTCTGGTTTCATTACATATGCGTTAGTTAAAAGTACACATTTTCTATAGTTCGTTACGCTAGAAATGATTCACCGAGTTTCCATGAGCTCTCTTCTTTGAACCTCGGCATTAGCTGACTTTGTGATTTTAATTTTGTGCCGAGGAGGTTTTATGATAGACCTTTATTGCCTAACGTTTCGATAGTATCGTCTTCTTTGGAGGCCTGAAAGGGATTGCAGTTTTGTATTCGTCAGTCTATACGACCAAACGCCTTCTCTACCTTGCGGCGTTTAAACCTTGTTCAAGTACAACTTATGAAAACAATCTGAAGAGAAAGTCATCAACCTTCAGTCCACCGTGAATTTAGTAGTCGCGCGACTGTGACGGACGTCACTGAGGGTGCTCAGTGAGTCAAAGCTATACTGGGTGTCTCAAATTATGTATACACTGTTTGTTCGTTGATATCTCTTTTCCCTAGAACTCTTTTGTTTACCTTCAGATACCATTTCGTGGAATTAGCTTCAACTTAGATTTACAGTATGGAGCAGATTAACGACCTTTCTTCATTATTGTAGGGTTACGGAAAGAACTTCAAGAAGGGTTTTGAGCATTGAGGATCCTATTTCGCCTTACAAAGCAAACCAAACAATCTGGAAGTTATCA